AAGTTTCATACAGCTTTCCACCGTGACCTTTCCATGGCTTAAAACAGATGGAATTGCTCTTTTCACCACAAATTTCAACACAGTTGTATGTCCCCACATTCAACCTTGAAACACCCTTCTTATATGGGTCCTCAGAGGTTTCTGAGACTAAGATAAAATAGCAAAATAGGGAAGATGGGAAATAAGTGAGACATTCAGAGAAAAAAAAAAAAGCCAAAGCAATTGAAGCTCATTGATTCTGCACAGCCCATGTGTATGTAAGTCATAATTCCCGCTTACTATTAGTATGTGGTGGGTGATTTGCTCTGCAGGACATGTCCTGTGTTATCTCTATCTCCCCAAATCTGGTTATTCCCACTTAAATGAATAAGTCCTTTTTGCTGGGCTGTATTTACAAAACAAGCATAATATTTTCTGCTCAATACTTGTGATCAATTAATTTCTAACATTTTCCTGCCCGTGTCTGGCCTGTCCCTTATAATGACAATCCTTACCATCACAATCCATGTTCATGTCAACTCGTGGTGAAATAGATATGCCTAAATCATACACCTAACTGGGCACAGATATATATGTTCAGAAGCATTGGCTTGTAATATACTGATACCACAGTGTGTTTTAACATTAAAACTTGGAAAGACAAGGTTGAAATTTAAAATGGCAATTTACAGGGAAGAACAAAGGGGTGAAATTGTATTTACCCCACCCCCCTCCTGGTTGCAATCATGAGTAAGGGATAGAAGGTTTGCTTTTGAAAAATCTATAGCAGTTTACTAATCATGAATTTCAAAATGCGCCTCATTTTAGACTATATTCTATTTGCTGCATAAAATATCTTGACTTATTTACATATTAGCAAAACTGAACTTAATGGTCAACTCCTAAGACCATTGTGAACAATGTAATTGGTCATGTGTAAATTGGTAAACGGTATCTTTCCAGTAAACAAAACATCTTACCATTTTACTTTTTGAGAATTTAAACCTGGACCATCCTGCCTTAAAATCCAATAGCTCTCTGGTAATCACCAAAGGGCCTGTTATTTTGCACTCTTTTACATTCTTGTAGGGCTTTAGACATCATTGGTCCATCTAGGAAATGAGAATACCTCTGACAGAATAGTTTATGC